GTCTTTTAGTGTACCTTCACACTTAACAGTTGAGCAGATACGGAATCCTAAGACGAAAATTAATTTCCTTCAGAAGTGTCTTCTAGCTTGAAGTCTTGCTATTGAAAAGTCTGAAACGATTCGGATTCCTTGTCTTTTACATGTGATCTACTTTTTTCCTGGAAGCTTGTAGAACTTCTTTGTCTTCAGTATTCTGGTATTTCAAAATAAAAAAGTTTGTGCTGGACACTTGATAGGCCCTTTTAATCTGAAAATATGTTCTTTGGTTCTGGGAAATATTCTTCAATCATATTCTTGGATGATTACTTTGTATCTGTGATCTCTTCCTAGAATACTGATCTCTTCCTAGAGTGCTTAATTATTTGGTATTTGACCTCCTTGATTGATCCTCAAATAAACTTAATCTCTTCTCTCAAATATTTCATCTCTGTTGCTTTTTGTATTACTTTCTAAGAAATCTTCTCAACTCCATCTTCCAATGCTTTCCTTCAGTTATTTTTGCTATGACATTTTAATTTTCAATAACAATGGTTACTGTTCATTGAATACTCTTCTTTATATCATCCTGTTCTTTTTTTTTGAGGTAGTGTCTTGCTCTGTCACCCAGGCTGGAGTGCAGTGGCACAAGCGTGGCTCACTGTAGCTTCAACCTCCTGGGTTCAAGCGATCCTCCCACCTTAGCCTCCCGAGTAGCTAGGACTATGGGCATGTGCCACCACACTCAGCTAATTTTTCTTATTGTTATTAGAGATGAGGCCTCGCTATATTACCCACGCTGGTCTCAAACGCCTAATTTCAAGCACTCCTCCCACCTCGGCCTCTCAAAATGTTGGGATTACAGGCATGAGCCACCAGGTCCAAACCACCATCCTGTTCTTGTTTCATAAATACATTATCTTCTATTATTTCTGAAATAAAAATAATCATACTTCTGTTGAAGTTCTCATTTCCTTGTCTAGTATCTGATTTCCATGAGAAATATACTGCTACATCAGTGCACCACCTATGTTCCCATATCTGCTGTTTCCACCAGGTAGCTTTCTCAGAAATGCTGCACTAAAAGGACACATAAACGCAGTCTAAGAAACAACCAAGTAGCCTGTGACTGTGTTTAGCAGCTAGACCAAACAGAAATACTAAACTCTCTTGGTTTTTAAAACCTGGCTGTCTTTGCTTTTCAAAGATATTAAAGCTAAGAGAAACCTTCTGCAAACAGGCAGGTTTCATTTTGTAGACCAAAAACCGGAGCTTGATTCAACTAGCTCCCTACTTGCATCTCCCAAGTTTCTTCAGATCATCTCACTATGTCACCTCATAGCATGACCTCTGTAGACCCTTTCCCTGCAAGGTTGGGTTACATGTAAATGGTAGTTTCACGGCCCTTTTTAGCCCTCTAGCAACATTTGTGGTTTTCCTCTGTGTTAACACAACCACTGTAGATGGACCTCCAGAGACCAAAGACTTGCTCGACTCCAACCAAGATGGGCAACTTCATAAATATTAATCCTGCACTGTGCTGAGCATATTCTCTGGCAAAACTAAGCCAGGTCTCAGACTCCAAGACTCTCTGTTGCCTGTACTACAAAGTCTGGTGGCCAGGAGATGAAGGAGAGGTTCTAAGAGATGTGATTAAGTCAACAAGAAACCAAAAAATTATTCCTGGCCTAATAACAATAACCACCTTAGCTAAAGATTTAACTTGGAGACCCAACAAGGAGGTTGTCTTAGACCTCTGTAATCTGCATTTCTTTTTTCTGTAACTGTTGGGAAATTTTGGTGCCTATCATTAGACAATCTCTCATCTTTTTAATTCATGATCTTAGCCAGTCTCATGATTTTATAAACAACATAAGATATGCTAATTGACTCCCAAATCTGTATGTCCATACCAGAACCTCACCTGAAATCCAGACATGAACCATTCATTCGCCTGTCTACTCAGTATCTCCACTTAGATTTCTAATATGAATCTCACACTTAACATATCTAAAACTGAGTTTCTGATCTTCTCAAATGTCTATTCCTGGTACAGTCTTCCCCATTTCAGTTAATGGCCATTCTTTACTTCCAGGTGCTCAGTCAAAACCTTGCAGTCATCCTCAACTCTTCTATTTGTTTGTATCGTGGTTCATGAATAATAAAGTTCATTAATCTTTGCATGTGTAAAAATGTTTTATTACGCCTTTACATATGAATAAAATTGAGAGCTCTCCTTTCAAAGTTATGTTCCCTCAAAATTTGGGAAAATAAATTTCTCAATTAGTTTCTTTTCTATGATTTTAAAGTGAAAATACTGTATTAATGTTAGTCTTGTTCCTTTGTAGTCTAAATATTTATAACTCACAAGCTTTTAGAGTTTTCTTTGTACTAGATGATCTAAAATTTCACAATTATATAAACAGATATTGATCTTTTTCAGTCATCTTGCTGCTTCACACTCACAGGGCCCTTCTACTCTAAGAGGAATTTTCTTCTATTAGTTCTTGGATTATTTCTTGCTATTCATTTTTAGTTCACTCCTTCTGAGACTGCTCTCGGCAGAGATTAGAACCTGTGGATCTATGCTGCTTTTCTTTCATGCCTTCTATTTTTTCTCTTGTTGCATTATATTCTGCAATAAAAACTCACTTAGTACAAGCTTCCAATTTACCAGTTTGATCTTAAAATGTGCACATTTTGCTTTTCAGGCCATCTTTAAGATTTTTCAAGATTTCTCTGGTTCTTTTTACTAGAAAATACAATCTTTCTACATGAATATGCCATTCTCTCTTTCCTTTCTGAAAGGTATCAATGATAGTTTTAAATGTCTTCTGTTTTGTTCCTGTGTTAGGGTCTTCTATTTACTGATTCTTGTGCCTCTCTTTCATGATGTTGGTTTTCCTGAAATCTGTGTTGACTCTTTGCTTTTGTACAACTTTACATCTGACAATCCTGGGAATCTGCCTATAAATACTATTTCCGTTTACTGTAAGATGCTCCTTTGTGACTGTAGCAAGGACTATTGCTGGACAACATATACTCACAGGTAATCTGCTAGGCAAAGAAGCTCCTAGTTCCTCCAGAATGGAGGTTCCATTTACCTTAAGGCTCTGATTCAAACTTATAATCACTGTTTTAATTAGAGGGCATCTGTCTCTGCTTCATGAGCTAGACCCACAAAGCTGCTCTGACACCATACTCAACTAACTACACTGATATTTTTCCTAGGATCCTGAAGCACTGCCATTCCTTTTTTCTTTTATTAAGCAGTCTTCTCTTGAGCTGATCTAATGCTTCCTCCTTGAAATTGATTCCAATGTCTTTCTTGTCTTTCAGAGATTCCTCACACTTTCTGGTATTCTCAGGACACCCTTTTATTCATAACAAGCTTTGCTAAAGTTATACTTTTTTTGCCTTTAAAATCTTCTATTTTTTTTTCTTGTTTTACTTTCTAAGGACTTGAAGTAATTTTAGGTAATCTCTTAAGACTGAAATTATTTTCTTTGTAATTTCCCCAAATAACTGATTTTTCTCTAATGACAATTTAATAATTGGCCCTTTTAAGATGATTTTATAACATCCCAAAGAGAAAAAAAAAGAAAAAGATAAACATCATGAAGCCAATCAAATTCACAATCCTTAGAGTCTTGGGCAATCCTGAAAGTCATTACTTCTCATGAAATAGTTCAATATGATTGTCTTCTTATAGAATGACTGGGAACCAATTTCTAAAAATAATTAAATGTTTAAAATCCATAAATAAAAGTTTATATAGATTTTCTCCAAAGCTAACGTTAAGGTTTTCATTTACCTTTCCATTCACATTTCTCAAACTATATTAACTATGTGAAATATTATATATATACATATTACATATAAATATACATTATATGTTATACATACAATATATATGTAATTATATAAATGTATAAACTATATTAACATTGAAATAGACCTAAGTTTTTATTCATATAATACATATACATACCCACTGGATTAATAAATAAAAAGTAATGATAATGCATTGCCTTCTGAGATATAAATTCTCAGGTAAGAAAATTGAGAAGTAGATTTTTTTAAATTTTAGATATCTAAAGCACATTTCAGCTTTCTCAAAATTTGAAAGTAATGATCACAAGAGTCTTTGAAATGAGTAACCAGAAAATAAAGTTTAAATCATACAAACATTAAAGAGAAGGCAAATTCCATAATACAGTGGCAGATATTTGCATTAATCCCTAAAGTCACAAAGTCCTTCAAAAAACAAACGTGGCAGTCCTACCTATCCTAGTAGTATTCACTATACTGTATTTGTGTTGCTGGTGCTTATCAAAACAATAAAACACACAGGATATTAAAAATCATAGATTTTTCGGAACAGATGATAGACTCAAAAGACATATTTGAATTCCAAACCTCCTACCTATTACTCACAAGTTGATGACTCTGGACAAGTTTCTAAGCTGCTATTTCCTTGGGTGTAAAATGGGAATAGCAATATCAGCCTAGAATTGATGTAAAGTCTCAACAAATGAGCAACTATTATCTTCTAAACCAGGATTTCTGTCATTTTTAACCCTTTTTAGTAAACATTTTTTCTCCTATTCTCTACTAGAAAATTGAAGTGAATTTCTTCCCACATGTAATATGAAATATTTTTCTAATTGCACACAACCCTATCCAAATCTATTACCTCTCTGTTCCTAATTTTCTTAAGCAATGAGCATCCCTGACCATGTCTTTCTTTTCAGATAAAAACAACAACAACAAACTAAAGGCCAATCAGACAGGTTATGTGACTTTACAAAGATCATACAGCTGGAAAACAAGAAAGCCAAGACATGGCCCCGAGTCCCAGTGCAGTGTTCTTTCTACCTTATTATGTCTTAAAATAACATACATAATAATATAATCTCACCTGAGGTTTGTACAGTCTTTTAAATTCACTTACTCATATACATGGCAGCAAAAAAACTATCCAATTAAAACAAATTACTGTGAGGTTATTTTGAAGTATTTACCTTTCTACATGCAGGACAAAGCCCATTTTCATCAGTGCGAATTCGATGCCAACAAAATCGGCAAATCTGGTAGCCACAGGTGCAAGGGAAAAAGTTGATATCATCTATCTCCAAGGGCTCCATGCAAAGAGGGCATTCCACAGGGTCTTCCTTCGCATCAGGACTGCGAGACATCTTCACGTTTATTAAACAGCAGCAAAAGTTTATAATAATTTAAGGGAGAATGAAGTTCAGCACTGAAAGCTAAAATGTAGAACTTTGACGACCTGCATGAGAAGAAACAAAATACATTGTTCACTACTGGAAAAACGGCATAGTCAACAATTAAGAGTCACACTGTCAAAAAAGTTAGAAAATACTGACTGAGCAACTATTGTTATCAACTTGAAATGGCTTTCAGTACAAATTTCTGAATATTTTTCAATATCAAAACAAAAGGCCTGGCATCATTAATATTTTGGATTCAACACAAATATAAAAGAACTTCCTTTTTTTCTCAATAAAACATTTAGTACTAGCCTACAGCACTAATCATAACACATTTTAGGGGAATAAATAAAGTAAAACAGCACTCTAAACTGTCTCATCTTTCACCTAAAACTTAGTTAATAGTGCCACATAACTAGAAGACTATTACACTATTCTTAAGTTTGTCACAATTTATAAAATCAAATGAAAAACACAGACTTCAATCATCTATAGTTACATGTTAACGTCAAACTCTTGACACGGAAAACATAGGCTAAAACTTAGAAAAACTAAGATGCCACAGAACCACAGATCCTAACTATACAACTAATTATGTAATAATATGCCAGTGAAAACTTCTGAGAAATATGTATTAAACAAAAGTATTCCTATGCTAATATTATAAAAAGCCTGTAAGAAACAGGAAGAAACAAGGAAACAAATAGACCTTCATATCACAAACACTTTTGGAAAAGTTAAATAATACAACTTATTAGATTATGGGGAGTTTTAAATTTTAGGTAACAGTTTCGGCTAAAGCCACTGTCAGATTAAAAGGTTAAGATGAAATCACTATTTTAAGTTAAAATCCAATAGCCTACAAACTAACGTATAATTCTGTAGTAATCCCCACCAAAATCATGGTGGTAATTTTTTTTTACATAATTGGACAAACTGATTTACATACAAGAATAAATACATGAGAATCATTTTGAAGTTTCTGGGGGAAAAAGTGGGAATTTGCCCTATCACATACTAAATTATACTACAAAATTACCGTAATTTAAATAATTTCCTATTAATATAAGAATAGACAAAAGAGCAAAGAAACTAAAGAATCTAGATATAGCTGGGTACACTGGCTCATGACTGTAATCTCAGCATTTTGAGAGGCCAAGGCAGGAGGATCATTTGAGGCCAGGAGTTTAAGACCAGCGAAACATAGAAAAGACTCCATCTCTGTAACAAATTTTAAAATCAGCTGGGTATGGTGGCACACACCTAGAGGCCCAGCTACTTGGAAGGCTGGGACAGGAGGATCACTTGAGCCCAAGAGTTCAAGGGTGCGGTGAGCTATGATTGTGCCACCGCACTACAGCGTGGGTGACAAAGTGAGACCCTGTCTCAAAATTAGAAGAATCTAGAAACAGACTCATGAATTTATGAGATTTTAATAGTTGATAAAACTTATGAATCAAGATGGAAAGGCTGGACTTTTTTTTATGAACCGTGATGGGACATTGGGCTATCTGTTTGAAGAAAAAACAGTATATATCTAATACTGTAATTTTTTTAAAATCCCAAATGATCTAGTGATCAATAAACTATTGAAGTGTTAAAGAAAAACACAGATTTTTTTTTTTAAATCTTGGGATACAAAAGGCCTTCCTAAGCAAATAAAAAATCAGAAGCCATAGAAGGATACAATCAACTTAGTAACATGGAAAGAAGAAAACATAAAACTAAGGATAAGCATCAGAGTACAAGATATGTTTGCTTTATATAATGAAGAGCTAATGTCCAGAATGTATAAAGAAATCCTACAAAGCAGTAAGAAGAAGACAAGTTAAAAAAAAAAGAACAGAAAACGATAAGTAGTTCACAGAAGAATTACAAGTGATTAAAATATATGAAAAAATGATCAGTCTCTTTAGCTAACAACCAGGTAACATATATGTACATATATTTTTTTAACCCCCTCAGCCTGCCAAAGAAGTTAAGTTTTTCCCCGAAGTAGAGAGTATCACTGATCTAGTCCCCCTTTCAAAAGAGGAAATGGGAGCATATTATTTTGCCTGAAGTAACACACTTATTAATACAGACTGGATTCCTTCCAGAAAGTCTTAGCCTTAGAATCTGTGCTCTTAACCACTCCCTTATGTCACCTCCGAACTAAGAATCTATTCTACAAAAACAGTGACACAAGTGCACCAAGTGTTTGGCTGTGTTCTACAGCATTGTAAGAGTAGAAAACTACAAACAGCATACTGCCCTTTAACAGAATATATAATACAGCATAAGGTATGTTGATCAGAATATCTATTCTATACTTATACTTTTTAAAGAACATCAAGTTAGAGACTGACATAATATACAATTACTTTCACATAAATATATAAACCCTGTATGTGTGTATATACATTTGTTTCACTAAGAAAATAAACATATGGAAGATTAGACACCAAAATGTTATTTTATCACGAAAGACAAAATGGAGTATATCACAAAAGACATGAAAAGTTTAGATATCAAAATGTTGTTATATCACAAAAGACAATTTAGATAATACTGATTTTTTAAAGAAAAAAGCCATTTGTTTGCAATTCAAATGGCCCTTTAAAAAGAGGAAAATTGTTTTCATTTCCTTTAGAAAAATTAAATTACTTCTCACTTTTGCCAATAATTAGAAGAAAAATACAACAAAATAAGTGCCTTTTAATAAATCTATAATTATTTTTAAAAAAGAAAAGAAAAGAAAAAGAAATGCCCAATTTTGTCACTATCAGTTTTCAGCATATATAAAGTTAGGGGCTTAAAGCTGACTTCTAATGGGTCCAATTTTAAACATCCCAATACTGTATCTGCTGAAAATACAGACTCAAACATAGGTTCCAATATCAGAAAAATAAACTGAAAAAAATCAAAGGGTGCTATCTACACCTGTAATATTTTTTATTTTAAGATATCACTTCTTTAACTACAGGTTATTAGAGTTTTAGTGAAGTAATTTGCGGAATGTTGGGAAGGAAACAATACATTGGGGCTTATGAATAGAAAAATGTTCTAGAAAGTAAATTACTATAAATAAAAGATGATATACTGAGGTTTTGCTTTTTGATTGTTTCTACCTGCTTTTTAATTTTAAAAAAGTTTACAAAAGTATGTATCTTTCAGTTAAGGGGGAGGTTTAGAGGAACAGAAGGGGACAAAGGAGCAAGAAATCCTTTAGATAGCTAATACAAAAAAGTAAGTACATTTGTGCACTTCTAGCACCATGGAGAGAAGCCACAGAAGCTGCCTGCCAAAAGTAATCTCATAAATGGTAAAAGGTAGTCTGACTTGGTAGAACACTGCAACACAAGGTCAAAGAGTTGACTGACTCATCTCTTTCACAAAGTAACTATATGATCTTGGATAAGACATTCAAACACTCTAGGATTTAATGTACTCATCTCAATAATGAAGAGACAAACTTTTAGGGAATTTTAAGTACAGAGCAATTTCCTAAATGTATTATAATACCCTTCCAAACAAAGCTTTTAAAATAAGCTTTGAAATTGACTCTCCAAAATACCCTTGCCCAAATTTTCATTTAGAGAATAATAATTTTGCTTCATAAGCCAGACAAATAATATTAAAATTAGAACTGAATAGGCTAGGCGTGGTGGCTCATGCCTGTAATTCCAGCACTTTGGGAGGCCAAGATGGGTAGATCATCTGAGGTCAGGAGTTTGAGACCAGCCTACCCAACATGGTGAAACCCTGTGTCTACTAAAAATACAAAAAAATGAGCTGAGCATGGCAGCGTGTGCCTGTAATCCCATCTATCAGGAAGGCTGAAAAAGGAGAACTGCTTAAACACAGGAGGCAGAAGTTGCAGTGAGCTGAAACTGTGCCACTGCACTCCAGCCTGGGAAACGAGCGAAAACCCTATCTCAAAAATAAATTAAAAAAATAAAATAAAACAATGAGTTGAAACAAGATTTATAATGTTATAAGACATAGAAATAAAATATATTTTTAAATGAAAAAGGCAAGTAAGACAATGATTTCCTGAATAGGGTGTGGGAATCCTGAGAATTAATTTTGCATGGAAAAAAAATATTCCTTTTTAGCCAGACACAGTGGTTTACACCTGTAATCCCAGCACTCTGGGAGACCAAAGCAGCAGGACTGCTTGAGCCCAGGAGTTCAAGACCATCTTGGGCAACACAGGGAGACCTTGTCTCTGCGAAAAATTTAAAAAATTAGCCAGGTATGGTGTTGTGTGCCTATGGTCCCAACTACTTGGGAGGCTGAGGCAGGAGGCTTGCTTGACCAAAGGAGGTTGGGGCTGTAGTAAGCCATGTTCATGCCACTGTACTCCAGCCTGGGTGATAGAGTAAGACTCTGTCTCAACAATGCTGCCAGGCACACTGGCTCGTACCTGTAACCCCAGCACTTTGAGGCCAAAAGTCCAAGACCAGCCTGGGTAACATGGCAAAACTCTATCTCTACCAAAAAAAAAAAAAAAAGGTTAGCATGGTTGGTGGCACAGGACTGTAGTCCCAACTACTTGGGAGGCTGAGGTGGGAAGATTGCTTGAGTCTAGGAGGCAGTGGTTAAAGTAAGCTCAGATCATGCCACTGCACTCCAGCCTGGGCAACAAAGTGAGACCCTGTCTTGAAAAATAAAAAGCCTTTCTATATACATAATCCAATCCTCACAGTGACTTGGTAAGAACACACTATACCCTTTATAAAATATGAAACTGAAGCTAGAATGTTAAAGATACAATTCAAAAATAAGGCCCAACTTCAAAACTCATGCCCTTTCCAACATGGTAAGACAGATGTCATGATAACTGATGTTGGAGCTACATAAAGTTGGGAATGAACTGCAAATGCTCAAAGAATAAAATGACATTACTTTTTAAAAATTTAAACTCTACAGCAAATTTTTACCCTATTACTTGAGTTCTTGTTCTCTACATTACCTGTAACTAGTAACTCTGACATATAATAATGTTCCTCCATCACCAAAAATCTCACATACCATGTAGTAAGTACACAAAATAAAAACCATACACTCAAAATCA